TTTAACTCTGTGTCCTTTTATGTAGGAGAGAAACTTTTATTTCTCTTCGAAGGATAAACAATTAGAATTCTACAAATAGCCTTACTGGGTCAGAGTAGGGGCTGATCAAGCCCAAATCTTCTCTCTCAAGGGGTGATGGTCAGCTGAAAGCCCACTCAGTTCTCAAAGCAGAAGACTGCTCTTGCAATTGGGCTTCCTGTATCTGCACGATGATATCACACGGAGCCCAAGATTTATGTACACCGAATTGCTAGGAACAGCTGGGGATGCTTAATCCTTCCCCTGCTGCTCAGTTCTCCATGCAGATACCTCCCCCTGACTGCTTTTAATTATTTCCTTCTCTCAGCCAGGGTCTGAAACTTGAAGTAAGCCAGGCTGTGGGAAACGGTGGCCTGGGGGAATCATTTGCAGAGGAGAACTAGAGGCTGTGGAAGAAGTTAAGCAGAACAGCCTCCCAGTAATGTCCTTCCCGAAGTGCCCTCCATCACTAACCATGCCAGCAAGTGCAGGTTCGCAGGTATCATGTCCCGCTTTGCAGGGCTGCTTGCGAGGATTACAAAGATAAAGCACGTGGAACCACTTGAAGATGGTAAAATGGACTGGATAAACACTCTAATCCTCTATCACGCCTTGAATTTCTATAGCCGAAGAGGCACTAGCAACAGAATCACCAGAGGTGGAAGGGAAGGGGTGGGGATGGTCCCAGGCTACTTGTAAGAAAATCGTGATCATTGGGAAATGTTTAAAGGAAAATTGAAATCCCCATCTTTCAATGCTGCCCTTGGGTTTAGCTTTGGTTGCTACTGTGGAAACGTTAGCTAACTGAGAATGGAAGAATATAAGAAGAGAGAGAGAGTATGTACAACCCATGACATATGGGTCCAGCCCTGCTATTCCATTCTGTCCTGCGTGTTATTGGATTTCCCTGGCAGATGTCCCAAGGCTTGCTGTATTCTGGAGTGGAGCCGGGTGGCCGAAAGCTTTTCTTGAAGGGACTCGAATCAAATTGCAGCACCGACTCTCACTGTTAGCCACATAACTTGATTTCAAGGGACAAGCGTTAGTCCAAATAAAACAATTTAGCAGATGCCCCCCCAAACCCGCCCTTTTCCAGTCCAAGCTGTTGACAGCTTGGATATGTGGTACAGAGGAGTAGATTGCCCTCTGTACCTCGGGTTAAGAATTTAATTCGTTCTGGAGGTCCGTTCTTAACCTGAAACTGTTCTTAACCTGAGGCACCACTTTAGTTAATGGGGCCTCCCGCTGCCACCACACGATTTCTGTTCTCATCCTGAAGTAAAGTTCTTAACCCAAGGTACTATTTCTGGGTTAGCGGAGTCTGTAACCTGAAGCGGCTGTAACCTGAAGCATCTGTGACCTGAAGTGTCTATAACCCGAGGTACCACTGTACCATAAAAATGTAGAGTAAGAAGGGAGTAGGATCACCTAGTTCAACCCTCTGCAATGCAGGAATCTCAACTGAAGCATCCATGACAGATGGTCACTTAACCTCTGCTTAAAAACCTCCAAGGAAGGAGAGTTCACCACCTCTCAAGGAAGTCCATTCCATTCTCAAACAGCTCTCTGGCTCTCAGAAAGTTCTTCCTGATATTTAGTTGGAATCTCCTTTCCTATAGCTTGAATCCCTTGGTTTGGGTCCTACCCTCCAGAGCAGGAGAAAACAAGCTTGCTCCCTCCTCCATGTGACAGCCCTTCAGATATTTGAAGAGGAGTTTGGACTTTCACTCCCCTTAAGGAGTCTCAAAGCGGCCAACAATCTCCTTTCCCTTCCTTCCCCACAACAAACACTCTGTGAGGTGAGTGAGGCTGAGAGACTTCAGAGAAGTGTGAGTAGCCCAAGGTCACCCAGCAGCTGCATGTGGAGGAGCGGAGATGCGAACCCTGTTCACCAGATTACGAGTCTACCACTCTTAACCACTACACCACGCTGGTTCTATGAAGGTGCCTATCATATCTCCTCTTGGTCTCCCTTTATTCAGGCATCAAATAGTTTTGACATCAAATAGAGGAGGAAAATAACATAAGTAGAAACCATGTGAAAATATGGTAGAAGGGATTTCAGGTTAGCACCTGGGTTATTAAAACTAAGGCTCTTCATGACCAAGTTTAGAAGCCTAATCCAATATGGGAAACAATGGATCTATGTTTTAATAACATCTGATGCCCTGATTACCTTGCAGTCTGTGCTGCTGAATAGCCTAAGTGTGTCAGGGTTCCTAACTGGCCTTATTCCATATAAGACAGCTTCCTAGGTTTGTAAGCAAACTGAAATGCAACTCTCTTTCAAAACTCACTTTCATTCAATTTTGAGATATAGATCCCCAACCAAGAAATGTGCAAACAGCTGTATCATTAGCAGAACGTGGGCATAAGAATTGCGTACAGAAGTGAAAATCATGTTGTTGCTCTGTGTGTGTTTTAAAGAGGATATTAGGGAAAATTCTTTCAAAATTTGAACATTTAGGGAATGCAAGTGATAATGCTGATAATTTTTGTGAGGACTTTTTTTTAAAATCTGAAATGGAAGTGGAAATGTGGCAAACTGAGTTTAAGATTGGAAATATGACAGGAGCAAAAATCCATCCTTTCCTATTCACGGAGGGATGAGAATCCCTATTTTGGATTTCTTCAAAAAAATAAATGTTGAAGCATAATCACAACTTGGACGTACTTGGCCATGGAAAAGAGCAAAGCTAAAACAAATGATATTATCAGCCCGGTAGCGAGACTCTGATAGCACTGGTGTTTCACTGGGAAGGAAATCTCCCTTTGATCCAAGGGCCATGAGAAAAGCCGCTGCCACCCACCCCCCCCGGAACAATTGTGCTCTGACCTCTTGTGCCTACATCCAGCTGGATAACTTTTGTCCAGAAGTTTGAAGTCCTTGGCTGTGGAGGGAAAATTATCACCTGGCTACTAGTCACAAAAGGGTCGGATGGGACCAGGCTGCTGTTTGTTAAACAACACCAGCTAATCGTTGCACAGCGGCACTTCAAAGTCCACGGCAGAACTAGCACCGGTTTTCTGTGGGTGCCACCTCTCCGCTGCGGACTTGGACTTTGGATGCATGAATTCATGCCTTTCAGCCCCTTGTTTACAAAGCTCTCTTATACAGATAAAACCCAAAGCTGGTGCAATGAGCAAGGGTTTCATTCTGAGGTTGATTACATGCACTAAAGTTAATCACGACTGGTTTTAGGAATCTAGGAAGCCTGCTTATAGGAAGCCCCACCATTGCTCTATCCAACTGAGGCATGTCCACACTGACCAACAGCAGTTTCTATTGGGGTTTTCAGCCAGGGAATATTCCCAGCCGTATCTAGAGAAGCTGGGGACTGAACCTGGGACTTTCTGTGTGCAAGACTGATGTTCTTCCAATACGATAATCTTTATTGTCATTGTCCCATACAGAACAACGAAATTGAAAATCTACATCAGACATTCAAAAACCAACAAGCCTGCTATCCCTGCTATCCCAGCCTGGTTAGCCCCCTAAAAACTCTGATACCCCATAATTAAATACAATATTCTCCCATAGAGACTACCTTACACTGCGTTTAAAACCAAAATCGCATTTGAATAGAAACTGTTTCTCAGGTGGCTAGTCCTAGTCTTTATAACCCTGTACCTTCTTCCAGAAGGCAGAAGCTGAAAGAGATCATTTCCGGGGTGCGCACTATCCTGCGCTATCTCTGCAGCTTTCTTATGGCACCTGGAAGCATAGATTTGATCCAAGGTAGGAAGAATGCACCCAATTATTCTCTCTCCGGTCTTTACAACCCCAGACAACATTGTTTTTTCCCTGACCGTGCAGCTCCCAAACCACACACACAGACCATAAGTTAATACACTCTCCACAGTACAATGGTAAAATGCCATCAACAGGTCCTTTGAGAGATTCTTTTTCTGGAGGATTCTCAGAAAATATAACCTCTGCTGTGCTCTCTTCATCAGATCTTTAATGTTTTCTCCCCAGGTTAGGTCATCTCTCAACTCCATTCCTAGAAATCGAAACCTGTTCCACACACATTGCCCTTCCCTCAGAGATAGAAGAAAAAAGGAAGCTGCCAAGTCAACCCATTTAGTCCATCTGGCTTCGGATTGTCCTTACTGGGTGGCAGTGGCTTTCCAGGATTTTGTAGAATCATAGAATTGTAGAGTTGGAAAGGGACCTCGAGGGTCATCTAGTCCAACCCCCTGCAATGCGGGAATCTCAACTAAAGCATCCATGACAGATGGCCATCCAAACTCTGATTAAAAACCTCCAAGGAAGGAGAGTCCACAACCTCCTGAGGGAGCCCATTCCACTATCAAACAGCTCTTGCTGTCAGAAAATTTCCCCATATGTTGAGTCGTAATCTGCTTTCTTGTAACTTGAAGTCATTGGTTTGAGTCCCACCCTCCAGAGCAGGAGAAAATAAGCTTGTTCTCTCTTCCATAGGGGATTGTCGTCTTCACACAAGAATATTCTTTGAGGAGGTACCATCTTGGGCTGAGGGTACGAACTGTAAAATGGGTGTGTTTATGTCAAAGGCTCAAATCCTTTTTGCTCAACAACAACAGAAAAAAGAAGTCAAGCTGTTTGACCTGTTCTAGATAGATAGATAATTTATTACAGTCGGAGACCAGCTTATAAAACACACTTGGGGGTACAATCCCAGAAGGAAAACAAACATTTAAAACAATGTACAACAATAAATTTAAAATTTATAAATGCGATAAGCGTATAGACACTTAAAACTTTAAGATAAGCTACCGCAGAGAGATGACCCAGAGTCACCCATGGAACCGAGTTTGGGGATTTTCTTAATGAACTAGTTTGGGTCGGGGGATGGTCTGCGCCTACAGATCTGTACACAGAATCTGGCGACCATTATTATCTTTGCCTGTTCTGGTTATTATTCTTGATTAGATAGAATTGTAGTGTTGGAAGGGACCCCAAGGGTCATCTAGTCCAACCCCCTGCAATGCAAGAACCTTTTTGCCCAGTGTAGGACTCAAACCCACAACCCTGAGATTCAGGGTCTCATGCTCTGTTGGCTGAGCTAGATGATAACATTGCTAAAGTTGTTAGGAAGCATGAATAATAAATAGCCATAACAAATTCTCTTAGAGCATGCTGCTTCCTTTTAAACAATTTAATATTGAATTTATCCAAGCATGGACGTCTTGACCTTGGTTACCGTAAATCTTAAATCTCTTTTGACACCCTCAGCCAACTGAAATACGATGCCTGGTCTTGCACTGAAGGTAGTACCGCCAGCCTAAGATCAATAGATCAGCCTAAGAACAATTGACGAAAGGCCTTCAGTAATATAACTGGCTTACAATTCTGCCTTGAAGCGAAAGAAGGCCAGCAGAAATCCAAGAGCTTAAATCTTTTACCATCTTATGTATTTTCCTATTTTATTTAAACCACTCACATAGTTATTTATTAAGCAACCCATACATCTTGCTCAATAAATAAGAAACATTTCTTAGCATGGAAATACAGGAATAGGGAATGCTTCACCTATTGATATTCTCTCTGATAGAGATCTCATTACTCACCTGTGGCCCCTGATTTATTTCAGGGCCCTCCGCCTGCCCTGCAGAAGAGGACACACATTTGCATGCCACACCAAGCATATGCAAATTTCAGACAAAAATGTGATTTTTTTATATGAGTGGAGCAGAGACCCCAAGTGTCCTGAGCTTAGAAAATCATGTTGGCATCATTGGACTTTTGACCAGGACTAATTACTTCCCAGTTTTCCATTAACCTTTGAATACTTGATTTCCAGTTGATTCATTGTCAAGGAATTGGCATGTGACCACAACCACGATGTACGGAACTAACCATCACCCTTGCTCATATTTTCATCAAGTCTGTTATTAACCCAAGTTAGAAGGGAACTGAAGTTGGAGCTGCTGGTTTAGAGAAAGTCAAATTTGATGCCCTTCAAAAGTGCTTCCGCCATCTTCATTTTATTCCAAGCTCCTTCTGATGGTGCCAGAACTCTTCCACACACAGAGTAGTAAAAACAAATATTTCATTCATGACCAAGTAGCTTAGTCATCTGATTCTCAGTACTGATTCAATCTTTTGGAACAATGGCTGACTGCCATTCTGTCTGCTGCTAGGAGACCGGTTCCCTGTATAATCTTTTATAATTTTTAATATCCTTGATTTTATCATGGAAATTGATTTGCTAAATGTACACCTGGTATGTTTCCTCTAAGAGAGAAGAAGAAGAAGAAGAAGAAGAAGAAGAAGAAGAAGAAGAGGCATGTGAGAGAGGAAGGAAGGATTACAGATGGGATGTGCTGGAAAAGATGTGGGTTGCCTTTTGCTATGGATAAGGGCAGCTTCAAAAAAGAAGGTCATTCAGGGATAAGATTCAGAGCCTAAGTTATGGATTACTTTCTAGGACACAGATGTACCTGTGTTGCTCCATAATTGCTGCACTCCAACTCCCAACAGCACTTGCTGGAATGGCCAGTGGTGATGGGAGTTGTGGTCCAACAACATCTGAAAGAAGGAAAGTCTCCCACATCTGTTCCAGGGTGCGGATATATGGAAGAGCTTTCCATTTGGTATTCTGAGATTGCTCTCTGTCCCGACTATGCAGACTATGTATACTGGACCAAGGCCTTTTAGGGCTTTAAAGGTCAGCGCCAACACTTTGAGTTGTGCCTGGAAACATAAGTAGGTAGGGAATATCATTGCAAACCTTTTCTCCATTGCAACCACAGCTAGGGCCATCCCATAGCAGATCTCTATGCTCTCCTCTAGAGACCCTGAATAGATGGATGGCAGCAACCTGTATTGTTCTGTAGGTTATAGAGTTGTAACTCTACACAACAAGTCTGTTTTCTGTCCGAGTTCCCATACAGTTTGCTCTGTGCTTCTGACTGTCATGGATTGTGACTGACAATGTAAGTTTTATTATTTGCTGGAAGAAGTCCAGTAATGATTCAGAAGCCAGATATTACAAAAACACACTCAGTTTTAAACCTGCCTTTAGGCACCGTCCTGCTTGATGTTGGAAGTGCAAAAGGAGAGCAGCCAAGTGAATTGTGGGATTTTCTAATCCCGTCTGAGCTTCCGATTTCCTGCAGAACTTTGGGAAAGTCCCTTGGCCTTTGCTCAGCCAATGCAGCTTTGAAAGTGGATGCAAAGAAAATTGGGACCCCACGTAAACCATTTAAACCTCTAGCAGAAAACGGGATGGGGTTTGAAAATGCGCTGCGGTTGTTTGCCTTATGATGTGTGTTGTTCATAACATTTTCTTAAGATAACTGCCGGTGGGTTAAGAGAAGTCATTACTGAAAAAAACAAGTCTGATTTCCTGCTCTCTGAACAACATGTAGGCCTCTACAATTGCTTTTTTTCTTTTTTTTTCTTTCGGCAGCAAAGGTGACATATATATTTCAATCAGCACGTAATCTGAGACTTATGCAACCTCCCCCAGAAGGAGGAGTATCGTTTACGACAGACGCTGCTCCTCTGTAATGCAGATGGTCATAAATAGACCACAGAATGGAAATTGCTACCTGCCGTTTCGCAGGGGCAGTCATTTCTTGTGCTCTTACCGGAGCCAGTTTGTGGGAATAAGTGGCATCATCTTCTTTCTCATCTTAAATCTGGGGCACATGACTCATCGTTTCGCCCTCTTCAGAAGCGGGAAGATGCGAATAAAATCCTCCCAGATCCTGCCAGTAAAATAAACGAGGGTTGCTTTGACACCATGCGCTAAGTCAGTGTTTCCCAAACTGCTTTTTTTGGACTACGACTCCCATCTTCTCTACCTAGCAAGACCAGTGGTCAGGGATGATGGGAACTGTAGTCCAAAAACAGCTGGAGACCCAAGTTTGGGAAACTTTGCCCTAAGTGCTAATCCATCAAGGGGTGGGGCGTATGTTCCAACCCAGGGGTGGGGAAAGATTATTCACATTTCCTCATGGACAACATTTGAGGGCCACATGCTTTGGGAGGGAGGATGGATGCGGCCCTTACCTTTGTAAGCAGAGGTGCCAGCATCTTCTGATCATTGAGGAGGCCTGATGCAACATCACAAGGAGCCGGGGGGCAGAGCTGAACACCCTCTGAAAACTGAGGGGGCCCAAACCCCTCAAAATATATGTTGGGGGCCCCAAAACTGCTTCGGCCCCTAGGAGTCGGCACTTGTGTGTATAAGGTAGGCTGGCTTCCAGCCCCATGTAGGTTAGAGTTTTCCACACAGAGACATCTCTCTCTCTGTTGAGGCAAACAAGGGGCATCTACAAAGACACAGTTTAGTCAGGCAGAAACATCCAAGAAGGGCATGGAGTGAGGAAAGTGGAGAGTATTCAGGCCTGGAGGACCACATTTGGCCCCTGATCCTGAGTTCCCTAACCCATCTTGGGCCACATTCACACCATACATTTGAAGCACGCTGACACCACTTTAAACAGTCAAGGAATTTCCCCCAAAGAATTCTGGGAGCTGCTCAGAAATTAATGCTGATATTAACTTTGCTTTGGAGAAATCCTTGATACCTGCAGATGTTCGCAAACTTTAAATTGCATTCCTGCAGGCGAGGGACTAACAGAAGGGCAACACAAGTTGGATCCTTGGAATTGACCTATGGGTCAATACCCTTCAAAACTGGAAGGGTAAACCCCCAACATCCGTTTCAAAATGGACTGAAGATCTCACTTTTCTTCATTCGAACTCATATCTTAAAATTCAGTCTCATAGCTATTATGACATATGGACTGTTTGCTTTAGTGTACACATTTAAGTCAGGATTGAGGACTTATTTTTATTGCTAATGTTAGCTGACGCCATTCCTTTCTTTTCTCTTTGTGTTATACTTTTATGCCAGAGTTCAGCCTATATATATGGAGAAAGAGAGTTTTAAATATCTCTCTCTGAGTGATTTCTAATTAAAACACAACGATAAAACCAAAATGAACAAGAACATCCTATATAAGAGCTATTGATGCTGATGAAACTGGTAATTAGTAGAGCCCTACTACAAATCTCACTTGTTTGCAATTTCTGAGCCCCGACTCTGATGCGCTGTAATTCATAATGCATTTGTAATTAAAAAGAAGATTATGAGATAATCTCTCTCTCTCTCTCTCTCTCTCTCTCTCTCTTTTCATCAGCACATTTTGCAAAGCTGGTCTGACTAGGCAGCCAAAGTAAGGTTGCATCTCCTCTCAGTGTATGCTCAAGATGCTGCTTACTTTAATGGGGAAGGGAAGGAGAGAGGGGAAAATGTTCCCTGGTGCCTAGGCAATGTGCAGGACATGCCGCCTTCCCAAATGTTAATTGCCTCTTTGGAAACAGCATCATTTTTATCAGAGCAACTGATGAAGGCCAAAACAATTTGCGATAAGAATTTAAAATTTCTGTTTTCTTAGTCATTGTAATACAGTGGTAAAGGTAAAGGGTAAAGGGACCCCTGACCATTAGGTCCAGTGGTGACCACTCTGGGGCTGCGGCGCCCATCTCGCTTTATTGGCCGAGGAGGCGGCAGTGGCGTTTGTCAGACAATATTGCGCCTGACCCGTGCGCCTGGCCCGTGGTGCGCCTGTCTGCGCGATGCCTGCACTTGCACTGCCACTTCCAGATGTAGTGGCATGACTAAGCCGCTTCTGGCAAACCAGAGCAGTGCACGGAAACGCCGTTTACCTTCCCGCTGGAGCGGTACCTATTTATCTACTTGCACTTTGCCGTGCTTTTGAACTGCTAAGTTGGCAGGAGCAGGGACCGAGCAACGGGAGCTCACCCCGTTGCGGGGATTACCTTGGATAGTATTTATTAAGGTTTTAAGTTTACAAAAGGGCAAAAGAAAAAACACCAAATTAAACAATAGCAAAACAACACATCACAATAAAAAAACAGAAAAATAGAAACAATTAAAAACAAACAAACAAAAAAAGAAAAAACAAATCGAACCTTCCCATAACTTATCTTTCATTTGCTTGTTTCGTTAAATACTTAATTCGTTCTGGAGGTCCATTCTTAACCTGAAACTCTTCTTAACCTGAACCTTTAGCTAATGGGGCCTTCTGCTGCTG